AGATGTCGGTTTAATTGTGTTTAAGGCTTTATACAGAAATTGTTAATTGGAATTTTAAGTGCTGATTTACTACGCACTCGGCGGTGAAGAAAACCTGAGGAAACCTGCATGTCTGAGAAATAAGAAAAAAAACTATTTCGAAGACATGTGAAGTTCGCCAATACGCATTGGGGCAGTGCGGCGGACTTCCTTGCCCTAAAACCCTCTCAGAAATGATCATCTCATTTGCCTGTGCCCAGCAGTGGGACGTATATAGGCTGTAATTTTACTTTACTTTTACAGTAGTTCCAAACTTTATGCGGTTGCTACAAACAACTGAAACTCCTTTTTTAATGTAGCTCTTTTTTTCTCGTATATATTTTCTTAGATATTTTTATTGCTTATTCCATTTGATTTATAAAATACTCATCGGGCTCGTTGTGTACTTGAGAGCTGCTAGTACTAGATTCAGCGCCATTATTTCCACATCTGGTGTCCGGATACTAGGGATATTTTAAAATATCCCTATTTCTTTTTGTATATTTATTTTGCAATTAGTGCAGTTTTACTAATATTCGAGGTAAAAAGTCCGTGTTTTGAGACAGTGAGGAGGCCATTGTGCAAATATTTTAACAAGCATTTAACTCGTTGTGGTCTTATCTCTTCTAAGTGAACTTTCAAAGTTTAGAAGAACCGCTTTGCCAAATCATTATTAGTCGTTGTCGATTGAATCTTTTTTGAGCAACACGTCAATTATTGCTTCGGCTGTAAATAATGAAGCGTTTTGTCGGCCTAAGGCTTCCACAGCTATCTTTACTGGCTGCAACAAATCAACAACTGACTACAAAGGAAGAAAATTGTCTTCATTCCATTTGTCTAAGATGTTTAAATCAATCAACGCTTTCTTAACGCAATTTTTTATCTCAGAAGCCGTTCCGCCATCACAATGATTGAATTCCACCTTATTTTAATATTTAGTAGTAAACTGAGTTCAAAAGTAACACCACACCACACTCACGTCATAAATGAAATTGACGACTGACTACAGAACAACTAATATGGCGGCGTGATGGCAGTGCAGCAAACGCATTTATAGTGTTGTGTACTCAGTAGTTACGTAGTAGACCAAGTAATTATTCATTAAACTAACAAATGGCGCTAGGCTCCTTCAATTATTTGAAAATACAAATGATTACATAACAATTTTGACAATCTTGTCTCGTCTCGAGTCTCGAGCAAAAAGTCCCGGGACTCGAGACAACAAAAATTACGAAAAGTCCCGTAGCCAAACCCTATCTGGCACTGGCTTATAATAAATAAATAAAAAATAAATGTAAGAATGTCCATTTAAAAAAAATACGTAAAAATAATAATTACGTTTCTTTACCCGTAGAATACTATATGTATACCACTAGAGCACTATACTGTGAAGAAGAGAGTACCCCATACACAGAGAAGTACTCTGTGTACTTGTATGGGGATATATATCTATTACAATTATAAGCACTAGATTTGTTGTGTTGCAACCTTATCGAGAATTGATTCGAGAAGAATTTTAATACTTCTATAGTGGTAGATCCACGTGTCAGCTATTTTATGGTTGTAGCACGATTGATCGGCTCGACCGGTGAAGGACCACGCTCTCACAGAATACCAGAGTAAAATAGCAGCTTAATACTGCTGTGTTTCGTATTGCGAGTGTCCGGAGACCCTATTTTACTGGAAACGAGGCATTCCGTCTTAGTGCTCAAGGGTGACAACGCATCTGGTTTTGATTCTTAATCGAGGATAAATGTACATGCCTATGGGCCACAGCATCCAATTACCATCAGGTAGACTGTGTGCTCGTTTGTCACCCTTATTCTATAAAAAAAAATGTCTATACACTATGTCTTACCACCATTTTCTTTAGTCGCGTTTTGATTGTTGATGGTTGCCTTTTTCTGTAATGGGTCTGTTATAGACTTTACTTTTCAATCGATCTTCATTGACTATCTTATTTCACTCCGAGTTCTACTGTTTGAAAGATTTGTATGCTTAATATCTAGATAAATTTAGACCTGCCAATAAAAATAGCTCAAATTTTCGGGTTACCTAAGGCTAAGTGGGCGCCAAAAGCAGATTTTTCACGCTTTATATGGACTGTTTGGTCGGCCCGCGCGCTGGTTAATCGCACAATATTTATTTGATATTTCTTTTTAAAATTATTTATACTCTTTTATTGAAAAATAAACCCATAATTCACTCACGTATTTACTGGTGAACACTTAGCCTGAATTTAATTGAAATTGATTTCATTACATTCGAATGAAACTGCTTTTTCACTTAGTGGACGTACCTAAAATTGTAGATTTTGAGGAAACTGCGATCTTTTTCTAACGAGGCAAAATGTGTCAATCGTGTCCATAATTCACTTCGAAAAATCTTTAACTTTTATAATGAATTGAAAAAATGTGAATTCGTAGTTTTTAATGGCAAAAAATTGCACTTTTAAAGCGTGAAAAATCTACTTTTCCACCTTAAATTTTTCATGACGTGGAAGAATTAACCGCTGCGGCAATATATCTATACAACACGTACCGTTATTTTCTTAATGTGCACAAGAATATAGTTATCAAAAAGAAATGGCGTAGAAGAAGATGGTGGATGATATCTGTCCATCGCAATTGAACTAAATATGTTCTAAGTCAGTTTAGTTTTCTTTAAATAAAATAAATTAATAATTTAATAAATAATTATTATTTAATTCGGTGACGGAAAAATGACACCGTCGCCATCCCCAAGACCATCGCACCGCCATAAGCCATCCGACACAACTACGCCCTCCACACGCTGGACCATCATAGTGGGCCATCGCGATGGCCCATTGTGTAGAAGAGTTATAAGAAGTAGGCGTTTCCGTTGTTGTAAATAAAGCACGATTTTCTATGCTCTAATGTGGATGCAATTTTACGAGTGGCGCCTCGTTCTGGAGTTCTGGAAAGTTTTTATCTATCCTGGAAAGTTTTGTTCTATACCGGTGCGAACGGGACGCTGCCGGAGGTAACGGTCGTTTTTCGCGGTTGTGTATTTTATTTTATTTTCTTATCTTTTAATTTAAACTTTTATAGTCGGTTTGGTGTTCCCTTCTTTAATCTCTAAGCATGTTCACAAAGGTAGATTTCATAACCAACTGTTATTTTGTCCGAATTTTTAATTATGTCTTTAATTTTATTGACCTTTATTTAGGCTTAAAGGTTTAATTCAACTAAATTACTCAGTTTAATAAACTCACGTAAAGTTCGAAGGCCGTCAAAGTCAACAGGGTATCGACCTAGCGTCAAACTCACTATACTAACAACTATAGTATCGTGAGTGTAATGTTTACTCGACTACTCAGTGCCTAAGTAAACAATATGCCCTTTCTGAATATGTATACCAAGTACGTGCTCATGTAGAATTTGTTGAAAAATACACTTTGTTTCGACGCTATAAGACATGTAAATTGTCGACAGAAAGCATCGTAGGGTTAATGGTACTCTGTATGAAATATACATCATATCCTTTATTACGAACACACAAGGTGCAAATGCCCTCGATTTGTCTGCATTATAGTTTAGTCGTGCATTTTGTATTTCATATGCAAAAACAATCTTTATGCGCGCGTAATAAGGTAGAAAAATATGTTTGAAGTAGTAATATGGCATTGTGTTGGATATTAATCATGAACAGAGCTCTTAAAGCGTTGTCGCTGGTTAATGAGTGCGCGGCTGTGGTTTGTTAGGTATTAAAAGGCGGCCATCTTGTTGTTTCATGTTGAATTAGATATTTATATAGGTGTACATCTACTTTGAGCGGTTTATTGAAACCAGGGTTAAAGCAGCTGCAAAGAAATAAGGTAACGTTGCGAAGGTGCGACTGTAGTTTACGCCAAGACAATTGCTTACTCAGCGCAAGTCTTGCTGTACATCGAGTTTATAGTACATGGTAGGTATCTCGATGATTTAATGCCGCCACTATAAATCTTTGAACTCAATACAAAGGCGTGTTGAAAGCATCGAGATACTGTGTACCTGAAAGGCTCATTGGTGACCTCAATCTACTTAAAGCCGTGCTTGCCAGTCTCGAGCCCAGGCGCAACAGCCGCCTCTCGGTGTTCTACAGGATGTATTTCGTAAAGTGTGCGCAGGAATTGTGTAATTCACGTCTTTTCACCTTTCTTTCCCAACATCATACAACCAGATGTTTGGATAACACTCAAATTTTTGTTGTCGACATACGACACGAAAGAACCAAAAGGTTTGCTTCGTCGTTCATTACAAACGTAGCGTACTGCAATAGAGTAGAGAGAAGGAAAATTTGCAAGCAAATTTTCTTTCTATCCTATTACAATTTTAATTTTAATTCCATCTAATTTTTAAGTACAAATGCTTGAATAAATCATTTTATTTGGTCAGATTATGAAAATCCCCAGCGTTACGTTCAACACACGAAAGGCTTCTATTTACATAATATGTGTACCTACCTATGCGAAACACAGCCCGTAGTTATACTTAGAAATTATAAATGGATATTTATTCGGAGGTAAGGATTAATTACGTTCAAATGGGATAGACAGGATAGGATAACTTATTCTCGATGTGTCGACGATGGTGTTATATCTATAATGTCGGTAGATCAGGTCCCACATACTGATGATAGGGAATTGCAGCATCACTAGTGTGTGGATATCAGATTTGCGCTTGCCAAGGCTCTGGCCAGTCGCGTCTAAAATGCTAATTACACGCCCAAATTAAGACGCAGATTTTTTTATAATGAATTGACCTGCGTTTTTCTCCGCGACTGTCCTCGCATGTAACTCGGTTAAAAGCAGTTTTTTTATGAAACCTTTTATTCAGCTGATAAGTATTTTTTCATACGAAAAACTAATTTAATTACAATAGCAGTAGTTATAGCCTTGTAATTTAGGACTGCGAGGCTGTTAATTTTCATGTATTACAGTTGTATTACGGAGATTTAACAAAGTTTTCTTTTCTTTCCAGGTCTCGACAACCGGATATCTAATTCGAGGAGTTCCGTCTCGCCGTAAGTATATCTTTGATCTTTAAAGTATACCGACGACCTCACAAGTGTTGGTATTAATCTAGTAATTTCTGTTGTAATGCATGAGACCGTTTCGACTTATTGTACCAAGGGTACAATGCGATTAAAATAAAATGGGACCGGCCGGTCTTCTGTCCGTTGAAACTTCACTCGATTGAGTAGGGTCGGCAAACAAATCCCGTCGTCAAAATTATGTCATTACAACAAAAAATATTGTACTCATTTCCATACATGTTTACTTCACATAATTTTATTGGACAAATGAATATCTAATAACTAAAATATCTTATCAAATTATGTAACTATACAACTAGTTATAATAATATGGTTACAATACCATATAATACTTGGGGGGAAAAGTTTCTTCGTATTTTATTTGTATAAAATTACAGAAAAATCTCTTTGGTTGTGCTGTTTGTATCTGGCTAGTTTTAATGTCTATACATAAAGGAAATTAAGAAAAAAAAAACACTTTCCCGCCATTTTACAATTCTTTTTCTGCCCGCCAAAATGAGTGAATTTAACGAAGAAATTTGGTACATTCTGAAGTTTTACAAAACAAGGGAAAAATGCGAATCAAGCCGCAAAAAACATTTTTGACATTTATGGACCTAAAGCAGTGTCAAAAAGAGTAGCACAAAGTTGGTTCTAGCGTTTTCATTCTGAGAATTTTGATGTTAAAAGTGCAGCTCGCTCTGGTCGCCTTCATACGGATAAAGTAGATGCCACTTTTGAAAAAGTTGAGCAAGATCGACATATTAGTAGTTACGATATAGTCGAGGAATTGAGGATTGAGCACAAAACAGTTTTGACTCATTTGACAAAATGTGGCTATACAAAAAAGCTCGATATTTGGGTAACACGAGCTAACTGAAAGAAACCTAATGAATCGTGTAACTCATTTACGCTTCTCTATCGAAACGTAATGAAATCGAACCATTTTTGTAAATATTGATCACTGGCGTTGGAAAGTGAATCACCTACGACAAGAACGTGAACAACGAAAAAAATCGTGTTCAAAGGGTAGTCGAGCTCTACAGACTGTAGCGAAACCCGCATTAACACGCAATAAGGTAATGCTGTGTGTATTATGGTGGGATTGGAAGGGCATCGTTTATTATGAGCTTTTACCGCCGAGCAAAACCATCCATTCGGATCTATACTGCGAACAACTAATAAGACTAGCAAGAAATTGAGAAAAAACGGCCGGAATCTATTAACAGAACAGGAGTAAACACATCAACAGAAGCTAGGGAAACCTTAATCCTAAATAATTTACGAATTTACAGTTTAAAAGTTGTTTAGTTTCCATGAAAAGTTTAAATACAGATAGAAACCTCTTTATTCGCAAAATTTAAAAATGTAAATAAAAAAACAAAATAAAAAACAAAATAGGGCGGCAAAATTGTTTGTAATTCGTTGCGTCAAGAAAATTAAAATTGTTCTTCTGATATATTAATTATTGTGAAAAGTGATTAGATTGTTTTTAATTTATGATTTAACGTGCCGTGTGAGCTTTAACAATCATGTCACGTCGTCATTTGAGTCGAGACGAAATGTTACGAGTCGTGGGCATGTTAGAAAATGGTGCTGTCAAAGATATTTTATAGGTCCTATCAAACATCTTTGGGTGCTGTTCAACGCGTCGTTACTATAAGGCCCCACACACCAGCCTAAACGTGATACCAAAATTGTGGTCACGTTATCGCAGCAATGGGGATGTGGCTGAACGGCACTCACATATATATATTATAATTAAATGTAATGAAACTTTGAAAAAAATCTTTTGAATTTGTATATAAAAGACGAAGAGACTTTTTCCCCGACCTAATATTATCGAAAGCAGCACTGAAATGTATCTATGTAAAATATTATTATAAGTTCCCCACATCATTGTTTCATCATTTTACATAAAAATGCACATAATTGAGTTGAGTACATACAAAAAGAGGATTAAATTTATATTTATTTTGTTTTATATTATTTTTTATACGATGCTTAATATTACTGGAAAGAAACTAGTTTCACAATTATGACGTTACAGACTGTATTATAGTCCCATTGTTGTTTTAATTGGTACTTAAAGTCACATTTCAGATGTTCGGCTTATTGTTTCAGTGAGGTGGTAAACAAAGACTTGGGCCTGTCGGAAAGCGACGATGAGGTCGCTGCTACCACCACAAGGCTTGAACCGTAAGTTTCAATTTCAATACTAAATTACAATGATCAAAAAGTAGTTAAAAAATTAAATGACGTTTATGTATACACACATATATATCGTCATCGTCATCATTTCTTATAGTTTATGGCGCTGAGCTATAAATCTTCATATATAAAATGCCTGTGTGGTGTGTGTGCGTACGCGCGTTCGTGCGTGCGTGCGAACGTGCGTGCATGCCTGCGTGAATGCGTGCGTGCGTACTTGCGGGTGTGCGTACTTGCGGGTGTGCGTGTGTGTGTTTATCATATTTCTCTCCTCCTTAACGGCTCGACCGATTTTGATTAAATTTGTTTGGGATGCTTATGGGGTCACTCTGATGGTTCTTAGTTGTTTGGACCGGGTTGGTGACGCTGTTGTCGAGAGCCAGAAATTGTCTGAAAAACCGGGACGGTTCGCTAGCATACTGTAAAGTTAGTATACTTATATCGCGCGATGTATTACTGTCGTTAGCTCGTATATTTTCGTAACATTGCGGTCTCCTCGTATAACAATATAGCGTCTGTGTAACGTTTTGCTACCTTTCTATTAAGTGTTATTAACTTGAAAACTAGTGATTACGATTACCCTACCGGATGAAAATATTTCTCATTGAAAGTCATGTTCAGGCTTAAATTGTCTGGCTTTGTGAACACGTGTACCAGCGCACGTGCGAAAGGTTGGTTGTAGTCATTTCAAAGTATATTGTTCTTTATGGCCACGTTTATCGCGCCACGTGTATCGGCTTAATTGGAAACATTAGTATGGAAATTCCTATACCTTTAAACGAGCAATTCTTGTATATATATAATCGGAATCTAATCGGAATCCAACTTAACGTTTAGGTTCAGTGTGCCTCTAACCATTCGGTGATCGCTGCCAGTTTTATTCGCTAGGGTGAAAACTGGCAGCGATCACCATGAACCTAAACGTTAAGTTGGAGAGGTCTCGTCTAATGAAGTCAACGCTCCGTCCCCCTCGTGCTCTAATTCAGAATCCCGAAACCTTTCAGCTCGAGTTACGTAACCGCTTTCAGTGCCTAGATGATTGCAATGCAGTGGACGATATGAATGACGAGCTCGTGGAAACTGTCCACGCGGTCGGAGATAAGTTCTGCAAGACCCGCCGCAGAAGAACACAAAAACTCTCCGATCACACTCTTAATCTCATGGCTGTTAGACGGGAGATGAGACTGCAAACGTCAACAAATTTGACAGCATATAGGCAACTGAACAGACAGATCTCCAAATGCATGCGGCGAGACTTACGTAACTTTAATACTGCTCGTATTAAAGAAGCGATCGAGCGATACCAGGGCTCCAAAGTCTTTGCCAGAGATCTGTCTGCCAGAAAGAGCCACTGTCAAAGCTGAAGACTGAGTGTGGCAGCATCGTTTCCGGGACATCTGAGATTTTGAGTGGGATTGAGAGGTTCTATGGGCAGCTGTACACATCATCGTTGGAGCCACACGCAAGTGTGAGTAACGATCCAAGAGCAAGTCTTATCCGACACTATTCCGATGATATCCCGGACGTCAGTCTGAGCGAGATTAGAATGGCTCTCCAGCACCTTAAAAACGGCAGTGCCCTAGGCGGATGGAATTACAGCGGAGCTTCTGAAAGCTGGTGGAACACCTGTACTGGAAGTTCTTCAGAAACTCTTCAATTCCATTCTCCATGGTGGCACTACTCCGGAGGCGTGGAGCAGAAGTGCGGTGGTCTTGTTCTTCAAGAAAGGCGACAATACTCTCTTGAAGAACTACAGACCGATTTCCCTTCTGAGCCGCGTCTACGTGCTGTTTTCGAATCGTCTCGCACGCAGACTCTATTACTTCCAGCCTCCCGAACAAGCCGGTTTCCGAAAAGGCTTTAGTACCATAGACCACATACATACCTTTCGGAAAATTGTACAGAAGTCCGAAGAGTACAATCTGCCACTTTGCCTGGCGTATGTGGACTATGAGAAAGCCTTTGATTCCGTCGAAATTTGGGCGGTGCTACAGTCTCTTCAGCGGTACCAAGTTGACTGTCGGTATATCGAAGTGCTGAAGTGTTTGTATGGTAGGGCTACGATGGCTATCCGAGTACAGAACCAGAGTACGTAACCTATCCAACTGCAGAGACGTGTAAGACAGGGTGACGTTATTTCCCCGAAACTCTTCACCGCTGCATTGGAAGACGTTTTCAAGCTACTGCACTGGAAAGGATACGGTATTAACATCAATGGCGAGTACATCACTCACGTTAGATTTGCCGACGATATAGTCCTTATGGCAGAATCGCTGGAGGACTTAAGCACTATGCTCAATGACCTCAATAGTGCCGGATAGGTCTTAAGATGAACATGGACAAAACAAAGATCATGTTTAATGTCCATGTCACACCTATGCCGGTAGTTGTTGGGAGCACTAAGCTCGAAGTTGTTGACGAGTACGTTTACCTGGGACAAATAGTCCGGCTAGGTAAGTCCAACTTCGACCGAGAGGTCAATCGACAGATTCAACTCGGCTGGGCAGCGTTCGGGAAATTACAACGCATTTTCTCGTCAGGTATACCTCAAAACCTGAAAACTAAGTTGTACAACCAGTGCGTGTTGCCAGTGATGACATATGGAACTGAGACGTGGTCCTTCACTGCTGGCCGTATGAGGACGCTCAAAGTCGCTCAGCGAGCTATGGAGAGGGCTATGCTCGGAGTTTCTCTGCGTGATAAACTTAGAAATGTGGATATCCGCAGTAGAACCAGAGTGACCGACATAGCCCAACGGATTAGTAAGCTGAAGTGGCAATGGGCTGGCCATATAGCTCGAAGAACCGACAACCGTTGGGGAAAAAAGGTTCTCGAGTGGCAGCCTCGTACCGGTAGACGAAGTGTAGGGCGACCCCCCACTAGATGGAGTGACGACCTGGTAAGACATGCAGGAAGTCGATGGATGCAGGTGGCTCAGGACCGTGCTTTGTGGCATACCTTGGGGGAGGCCTATGTTCAGCAGTGGACTTGTAAAGGGCTGTAATGATGATGATGATGATGAATCGGAATCTCGGAAACGGTTCCAACGATTTTCATAAAATTTTGTGTGCAGGGAGTTTCGGGGGGCAATAAATTGATCTAGCTAGGATTTATTTTTAGAAAATGTCTTTTTTGTCCGTGTTTTTAGGTAATGAAAAACTGCTACAATATCGTTAGAATAAGAAGGTAAATTTTGACAGTTTATTAATGATTACATATAGCTTAATTGGTATATTGGGCGGTCACAAAATCGTTGTACCGTGGTTCGAGACCGACCGACCGACTTTTTTAAATTTTTTTTTCGAGAAAATCTATTTTTAGAGCCCTTTTTTAATATTTTTTAAAAACACGAAAATTTAAATTAAACTCATGATTTTTTATTCAAATAACCAGTTCAGTTTTTTCTATTACGTCGCTAAGATCAAAAAATATTATTCGTATTTCATCAGTATGTAATTTGTATCTAAATATAATTTCCAAAAGACACGAATTAAAAAAAAACCGAGCGAAAAGTCCGGTCAACCGGGTACTAGCTAAATAAAGAGTGCTATGTAAATAAACAACATTGATTCCATATTTTGATGGAAAATTACTAGGAACGGATATTTTATAAAGCTGAAAGAAGCCGTGGTAACTAAGCAGTAGCCCCTTAAAGGAAACGAACTATATCCTTGTCACAGAGTCCGTATTAAAGGATTGTAATTACATGCCCATCTTACACTGCTTCTAGTATGTAGTAATACAACTCAATGATGTTCATGCACTCTATTGAGCGTGTACAAATACAGCTTGCTTTTGCTATATGGATGGCAATCTGAAATCGAATAAGGAATTTTAGGGGGTAATCGATAAATTTAATTGATCTTAAATAATGTAGAGCCACGCTGCAGTTATATTAGTGGTACAGTTGTAGCGCGAATGGGTCGGCTCGACCGGGGAAGGACCACGCTCTCTCAGAATACCAGCGTAAAATAGTAGCTTAATGCTACTGTGTTCGTATGGTGAGTGTAGAGAACCGGAGACCCTTTTTACTGGAAACGTGGCATTCCATCTTAGTCCTCACGGGTGACAACGTGATTCGTAATCTAAGATAGATGTAGATGTCTATGAGCCACAGTAACCACTTACCTTCGGCTGAACTGTGTGCTCGTTTGGCACCCTATCCTATAAAAAAAACGAATCAATCATGTTGTGTATCGATCTCAGACACTTAAAAATCGAGATAATCTTAGTTATTATTATGATTTTGTTCTAAAATAATAAATAAAAGTATGTTTAGAAATTTAATATTATTAAAATCGAAAAACATTGTTTACGTAACTAAATAATTTTTTGTATTTGTCTAAATAGTTTTTGTTTATTGTTCAGTATATTTGAAGCCTCGCGTGACGTGAGACGGACAAGAATTTATTGTACGGAATAAAGAAGTATCGTAAGCGCCTAATGCATTTTATTCAAAAACTCGAAAAATGTAATTAGTTTTTATTTTTAACATTCCCTAAGGACACACCTAAGATATTATTATAAGTGATGTCATTTATTACATTTTTTGCTTGATAATATGCACCACGACCAGAACAAATATCATGATTAAAATAAGAGGTAACTTTGTGATTTTTTTCTATTGAGAAAATTTTATTCTATTATGTTTTAACTAATTACGTCCCTCGCAGTTACGGGTAATATCCATATTAATATTTTTTGTTGATATGTACTTGATTTAGCTATGTAAAAATCGGATTATTACGCTTGGCAATTTGTGCTTGTACGCGTTCTTTAGAGCCGTAGTAGATTAGGGGCTACGCTCGCTTTAAATTTCATAGTACGCGAGCAACCCCGGTTCCATCCTCGCCGGATTAATTGCAGTTTACCAAGTGCTGGGCAGTAAAGGAAAACATTGTTAGGAATTCGCCGATACGTACTTTATAGCAGGTATCTGTTTATAGGTATGTGTTTCTGGGCATATTTTTAAGATGCAATGGGTACAAAAGTTGTATTTTCACAGAATCCTCTCACCAATCGGCTCCGGCGGTAGTCCGAGCTCGGGAAGCGAAACCTCCCCCTCGGATTCCGAGTCGGAGTCCTCCTCCGCCGAATCTACGGTGGCGTCGACGCCCGCCCCGGCTGCGCAGCCAGCAGAGAGAGCGTCGTGGAGCTTGAGCAACTTTGCTCCACCACCAGCTCATCCACCGGAGCACGCCAGTTACGACACCGGGAAGGAGTTAAGGCACGCCCTCGCCGATGTTAAGGGAAAACCAGTAAGTAGACAATTTTTTTGTAAATTCTTGTTGAGGCGACGCGACGGTAGCCTAATTGATAAAAATTCGGTTTCACAAACTAAGAACTCATTCTCTGAACACTGTCTATAGCGATTACCACCGCGTGAAGTTTTACGAGTTCACGAGGAAGGTGACGTTGACATTAAGGAGAAATTAGTAAATTCTGCTTTATAAGGAATACATATATATATATATATATATATATAATTATATTACTACTGTATATACTATATATTACTAATATAAGGAATGCATTATATATGTTACTACTCTACATCGTCCCGTGGCGCCAAAGATAAACGTTCATTAAGCTAAGCCGTCCATAATTTGTTAAGACGACGTTGAACAGAAACGCGAGTCATGATAGTTGCGTATATTAATATTTTTTATAGCATTGGGTGACAAACGAGCACGCAGTCCGCTTGATGGTAAATGGATGCTGCGGCCCATATTTGATGTCACATTTATCCTCAATTACGAATAAAATGTAAATGCGTTGTCATCCTTGAAGACTTGGTGGTTTGCCTCGTTTTCAGTAAAATATCTTTTACTTGGTTATAGATACCTGCAGCTACTTTACAATTTATATATTTGGTTTTAAATGAAGTTCGGATTTATTATTTTTTTATTTCTATTCTATTATTTCTTTCCCCCATTTATATATATATATATATATATTAAAAAATAAAAAAAAAAAAAAAAAAATATATATATATATAAAAAAAATACATATATATTACGTGTCACGTTGTTTGTCCGCGATGAACTCCAAAACTACTCAACCGATTTTGATCAAATTTGCACACCGTGTGCAGTTTGGTCCAACTTGAGAGATAGGATGATTTTTTTTGCCCATGGGTGACCCACAATTTTTTTTTTGCAAATTTAAGGATTTTTAATAGCACATGACAGAGTCGTCGAAAAGGGCAGAACAACGTCTGCCTGGCAAGCTAGTATATATATATATATATATATATATTCCACAAAATCGTCACTGCGGCAATCACGACTGTCTGCATGCCGAGCGCATGCCGAGATCGAGGCGCGTACGCATAGCTCTCGCTTCGTCCGTTTGTATGGAGTTGGAATACTGTATAGATAAAATTACCGTGTTGGCAATGTCAGCTTTCGCAAAATGCTGTGTGATATTTACACAACTGCTCTATCATTAAATAGGGCTGTCACTTGGAGAGTTTCATTGAAAATTTAAATTCTTAAAAAATAAGATTTACAATTTGTTGCTACAAATACTTATAATTTCAAAAAAAAAAAATTAAATGCACCTCTCAACGCGCATCCTTATTAGTTGTCACATTTATATCTTTAAATTACATTACTCCATCTATAAATTATTTAGAAATCAAATCATTATCACCAAATCATCAATCACACTGTTTCGATTTCAATATCAATTGATAATCCAGTGACTAAGGTTTATTTTTGCGCTAGAAGATTCCGCCAAGGTATGTCAAACATTTGTAAATAGGTTATCAAGTCATTGAGATAAGCTCTTCCTGTATTTGTAAAATCTCCTAATAATTTCAAAAGTGTATTTACGTGGTTTGAAATTATTATTATAAAGATTTATTGGGGCGTTAATTTTATTAAAATAATGTTTACATTTATTTTTATTAATTAACAGCTTTTAAAATAATGATTTTCGTTCCTCAGCATCTTGACTATATGCATGTGCTTCATCCTTACCCAGGTGTCTGGTTGCGACAGATAAACAATTCGCCTTAATACGGCGCCTGACGAAGCGTTCGAAATATTTGTTTCAGTCTCATTACTCTCATTGCCATGTTTTCGTTACATTAGTATTCATTTCATTTCTCGGTTCATTACTGTGCAGCTTGACATTGACGTTGACCTAATGGACGGTCACTCTTATAATTATTTTATTAAACTACTACGTAGTGTAACCAATCAAAATGAAGAAAGTGCGAAACAGAAATGGATCAATCTAGCAATTCTAAAATCTAATTTAAGATTTAGTCTTTTTGATTTTGAAAGATGTCTGAACCATGTTCCATATAGAGATAGAACAGTGGTGTTGCATGAGTTCTTGAGGCTGAAGGATAAGCTATGGCAAACTGTTGGTGCACTACATGGAAATTTAGCGTCTACATCAAAAATAATAGAGGTCAGAGGTTTGTGTAAAATATTTAAAAATTTAGTTTTTTTTTAAAGAATATTAACAATGCTATAAACATTACTAATATTCCCCTTAACCACTCGTGGTAAGCTTAAATTGCTTGTGTTACGAGTGGTTCATGCCAGTAGTCGAATGGCGGATTAGAACCCACGACCTTTTTGAGTTCGCGGTCCACGCCCTGCCATCAGGCTACTGTCGCTTCAGTTAAATTCATCATGTCCAATTTTGTTTAGTTATTTTGATTTTTAAACCACTCTTGTAACAATAAACTGTATTCTCTCGTTTATAGAGCCCGATATCGGAGTTATCCGATTCAGACGCGTCCTCTCCGTCACCAAGCGCGACACGGCGGAGGAGGTCAATTGCTAACCGCATCTCCACTGCTTCCAGCGATGAAGACACTCCACGCTCTCATAACACGGTAAAATGATTTGATATTCGAGTTGGTCCCATATAAGTATTAAAACCTTTGATAGATTCTTCAATAAAACTGAAGCAACAAACAAGATGAAAAAACTATCTTCAAACAAAGAAGGCAAGAATGCGTTGTCATTTCTGAGGACTTGGATGCACGCACAGCTGCTTGGCGGCAGAAATAGCTGCCTTCTGGTCATAAAACGAGTCATGCCACTAGTAGGCGTTAACTTTACACTAATATAAACTAGTAGGATTTTTTTAAGAATTAGATCGGAAAACGAGAACACAATCCACCTGCTGGTAAGTGCATAGACATCTACATCTATCCTCGTGTTAAATCAAAATTCAAATGCGTTGTTGCTTCTGAGGACTAAGATGGAATGCTTTGTTTCCAGTAAAAAGGTCTCCGGTTCCATACACTCACCATACGAAACACAGCAGCATTGAGCTACTATTACAACATTTATAATAACTTCGAACTTAGTGCTCCGACAACCACTGGCATAGGTGTGACATGGACATTACACATGACTTTTGTTTTGTTCATGTTCTCTTAAGATCTATCCGTTGGAAGTCACAATTGAGGTCATTGAGCATAGTGATTAGGTCCTCCAGCGATTCTGCCATAAGGACTTTATCGTCGGTAGGTCGTCATTCCATTAATTGGGGTTGCTGCCACTTAAGAACTTTTCTTCTACATCGGTTGTGGGTTCTTCGACCTATATGCCCGGCGCACTGTCACTTCAGCTTACTACCCTGTTGTCTTATGTCGGTTACTCTAGCTATACTGCGGATAGCCTCATTTTTCTATCACGCAGAGGAACCCTTAATATTCTTCAATGGACAATTTAAATTAACAAAATTGGTGGTGCAATTGACAATATCAAAGCAGTACCCGATCGTTTCCAGGCTTCCCCTTTGACGTCGAATGCGGGGTCAACGGCACCTACGAGCACCGCGCCGGTGAAGCGCGGCCGACCCCCCAAGCCTCGCACCTCGGAGGAGCGGCCGGTGAAAAAGAAGCGTGGACGGCCCCCAAAACGACCTACCTCCCCTGCGCCCCCAGTGCCCCCCGCACCCCCGGACAGCGACGTCGAGCCCGACCCACCGCACCACCACACGCTGCAGGACACCAAGACGCATATATTCCGAAAGGTGATCAGTTTTGTATATTTAAATAATGGGTTAGACAGAACGTTAAGAATCAAAATCCCAAACTGCACAAATTCCACTGCTGGACTCAAACCTGTGTGAAGGACTTGCCATAAACTCTTAACAAGTTGATTCACAGGTGCAATAAGTACTAGACACTGCATATACACTTCCCGCGTAAAAAAACCTGACACTATATTTTTATATTTAAATATTACATTTTATTATGGATATTTAAATAAATTCACTTAGTAAGTATTACTAGCTAAATCTAACATCTAAGAAAAATTATGTAAAGAACTTACTTTGAGTTTAGTCCATCAGAGTCTTCGATCAATTATATACTATTGATGGGAGGTCAGAGTAGATTAGTAATAATATTATATAATTTGATAAGTCACACTTTCCACTCATCTGGTTCTAAGTAGGTAGTGTAACAGAATGCCTATTTTACTCGTGCCGTGAACCGTGACTTTAAGATTACATATACGAGATGTATTTTGTATTATTTACAGGTTTTCACTCCAAAAAAGGGTGACGAATGCGGAGGTAAGGGCGGCAAGGGGGGCAAAGGGAAAGGCGGCAAGGGAAAAGGTCAGGTGACGATCATCGAAGTGACCGCCCCGGAGTCCGGAGCGGACGACGACGATCGAAGGCATCGAGAACGTTCCAACGAACGGCGGAATGAAGAAGCCATCGCCAGGGTTTCTCCACCACAGGAACCGGAAACATTAACGAGGAGAAGAGAAGCGGAAAGAATAGCGAACGAAAGAATACAGGAGCGTATGTCAATCGAACGGTCTGACCATCGCCGCTCCGTTGACAGAATACCAGATCGGGTTACGGATCGAACGTCAAACGATCGCTTACCGTCGGATCGAATACCTAACGAAAGGTTACTACCTGATCGTGCGTCAAGCGATCGCTTTCAAAACGACAGAAAATCTAGTGATCGTTCACAAACAGATCGAATACCAGATAGAATGTCCATTGATCGGTCAGAACGTATCTCCAATGATCGATTACCTGATCGAACGGTTAGCGATCGAGTATCCTCAGATCGAACATCAAACGACAGATTGTCGGAAAGACTAGCGAACGATCGATTAGCGCCCGAAAGGTTGCCTAGTGATCGGTTGCAGATGGAGAGGTTATCTAACGATCGGATACTCTCGGAGCGATTACCTACAGATCGGTTACCAACGGATCGGTTACCCACGGATCGGAAGTCAAACGATCGGATACCATCAGATCGTATGTCTAATGATCGGATAACTTTGGATCGGTTATCATCGGACAGACTGTCGAATAACGACCGGTTATCAACGGAGAGGTTAGCGGTTGGGCTTTTAGCTCACGACCGGCTATCGTCAGAGCGAAGGTCAAGTGAAAGACTGTCGAGTGAAAAGATAACAATCGATCGACTTTCCAGCGACAAGTTAGATCGGTTGTCGAGTGACAAATTGTCGCACGAACGACTTTCTGGCGACAAATTGTCGATGGAGCGCTCAACGAGTGAGAAAACAACGCTAGAGCGGTTACCAAGCGAAAAATTGACGTTGGAGAGGTTCGTGTATGCAGAAGCAGACGTCGGCTCGGGGCTGAAATCTGGTCGGGGCTCCGAAAGATTGGAGGAAGCGTCGTCCAATGGTAAGTTTCAATTAGCTCTATAATAATTTCTTATATTTGCGTAAACACTACACATTTAAATAAAACTTGTTTTTTACGGAATTTATCGCGTATATTAACTTATTTATATTCTTTTTTACCATCAGTCAAGCGTAATGTCCCTCTGCAAGACGCAGTAGTGTATAAGCTTCATTGTGAAATGTGGTCTATTACATAGGACAAACAAAAAGATCAAAGCTGGTGTGAAGAATCGGCGCTCCGGGAAGTCTGCAGTCTGTGTACACGTACAGGATCGTCCCCGTCACTACATCAGATTTGAACTTTATAATTTTAATGTGGAGTAGCCATGGTTTTAACTTTGACATTGGGACGTCGAACACCCCGGCTCGAACCTTCGGGAATATAAAAAAGGTTAATATACGCGATAAAATCCGTAAAAAACTAGTTTTATTCAATTGGATATGTTGCTTCCTGTTGGCTTTGCGATCAGGACTAACGTCTCATACTATAAGTTGAATAGTAGTCAACAAATCAAGGATAATATTGTACTTAAATATAGGTAATTATTATTTATATTTTCTCTAAGACACTTAAAAGCAAAGCAAAAAGGGCATTGCCCATTTTCGGCCATGGAACGCCCAACAATGTGCATTTGTTAAAAAATTATATCTTTATTTATGGTTATTAATCGCGGTATTCATTTATCCTAAAACAATAGGAATATTTTTGCACAAATTAAAAGTACCGAAAAGATAATAATAAAAATTATGTAAATCATTATGTCATAGGATTAGTCGTAATATTATTTGTATTATTGGTAAATTTGTTTCTTCTTTACGTGTGTACGATTAGTAAATTCGTAAACAAGTTATTGAATTTTCTGTTAAAGTGGTTTTGTAAAATTTATAGCACATTTCGCGCTCGGAGAAGTGAGATTTGATGCAGTTAAAGTTTATATGGAGAAGGAGTACAAAAAGGAAAAAGCATTGTTTACGTTCATATTGCTAATTTCATCTCTCAATACACATAATATTCTATGGTAAAACAGTCTCAATATAGTAAGAGATTGTAGCTATTTTTTTTTATAAACTTGCCAACAAATAATAACCACTTAATGTTGTGTGAAAATTCTTAAAAACTTCCTCAACAACAACTAGTAATATTTCTCTGACTATATAATTTAATTCTTGACGTAATCGTAGAACCATCTTAAACGAAAACAAGAAAAATTCTGTAGTCGAAACGTCATACTCCAACGAACTCTATGAACTAATGTCCTTAACTAAACTCGCCACGAAGACATTGTTTGCCCACTTAACCGTTTACTGTCAACTACACTGTAACTAAACTCGCTACTGTACTTGTCGAAGTGTAGTAAATAGGTCTTTAAGCTTGTTCGAATTTGCTGATAAGTCACTCTTTAGTCAGTCTCTATCATAAGCCGCACAAAACTGATGTTACCTATACCTTCAGTCGTCGCAAATCATCGGTGAGATTAGTGCGACCACGTTTAAACTCCTTAAACCAGTTGTAAACAGTGGCACAAGACGGGGCTTCATCGTGAAAGGTCAATACGAAGTCTTATCATAACTTTCTTGTTAACTTAAATGGTATCGAAAGTCATAAAAAATCATTGTACGAAAATTTTCTCGCGTTGAATGACGACGTGACACAGACAATTTTCAAATCGCAAACAAATGACAAATTAATAAAATACGTACACAATAATATTGGCAAAGAGTTTTATTTTCAAAATTATTTTATTTTTTTATTATATCGTTTACAAGTGGCCAGCTCTAAAAACTTTGTTTCGCCCTCGTAATAGGATATTTATTTTATACCATATTAAAAAAATCTGAAAATATATATTTATGATAGGTTTTGTAAAAAGTAAACGAGAAATATTGATTTATATTCATAAAAACTCAATATAAATTTCATAATTCAATTTTAAGAATATTTTTTTTATCTGTACCTCAAATCTCCAAAACACTATCCGCCATATTATTACATAAGAATCCGTCGTTACGTCACTGGTTAAGTGAACATGCTAATGTGCTGTATGTTATTTCAAAATTTTTCAAGTTATCATTTCGATTGTCGAGTTTTATTTCGAATTTTATTGATTTTATTGAAAAAGCATCATGGAAGACGGACTCGTAATAAAAGAAAGCACTAATCTGCCAAGGATAAATACATAGATTGTGGCAAAAGTTTTTGCATATAATTCCGATTTTTGTTCTACCACAGAATAAATAATAGTACTACGTACAGAAGTTTTACTGTTTTAATGTTGACTGCTTGCCGACGTTTAATAGCCTACATAATTATTATTAATTAGATAAATCGCGCTCGCAAGCTAAATAAAACTTTATCGCTGCGAGAGAGTGTCCGTATTACTTTGCACTTTTTCCTCTTCCTACGTTACGGTGGACATTCCGTTGTTATGGAAGGATGTCAATAAAGAGTAACAAAATACATTGCGAAATATTAATTAAGTTACTTAGGTGAAATACCTATTCTGACTATGATCGACAGACCATATTTTCGCACCTACGTGAGTTCTGCGATGTCTAACGCATGCAACTTGCAAGGCCATTCGTCGGGAATCGCGACGCTTGGCTCGGAAGGAAAAGGTAGATAGTGTAAACAACAAATAAACTTGAAATACGATTCCTAACAGAAATGTAATCGTATTCTACTTAGTTAAAAATTTTATTGGTAAACAAAGTTTTGATTTCAGTGTTTTGTGTTATTTTAGCTTAAAATATTTTAATACAAAATGCAAGTATATGTACATAAGTAGATACTTGGATAGTGAAGTAAATTTCTACTAAATTTTGTAATAAAGTTCGTAGATATTAAATAAATTATTACTTAATTCTTTTTTGCTATAAGTACCTATCTAACAATAAAAATTAAATAAATTCACGTTTCATAACTTCCTACTAAAATCCTTCGGTAATAAAGAATGATGTATCTGAAATATTTTGTTGGTCATTTAGCGTCTATCCACGCAACAATTATGGTAGGAACGACGTTTTGCCATATTAAAATTTATTAAATAATGGGTAATATACATAATATATAGTTCTTAAATTAGATTAAAACTTTTGAACTATTTTATCCTATAATTAAATATACTAAACACTAAACTAAAACTATTTCAACAATATTTACAAAAAGTTATATACGTCAACAGCGTTAAAAAACTTCAAAAATTCAATCGCCTCCAACGCGCTAGCCCTGACTGCGTTATAAACATGTGTCAATCATGCATGATTCGTTCGTTTGAGCTGGTACACTTAAAAGTATTGATGGTTCATTCATTTGTTTTTGAATGAACCAGTACAACCAATCACAAACAAATGACGGTACCTTTTTAATCCGCGATTTGTTTGAATTATGAATGAGCCGCAAACCGACCGAATCCCGAATGATCTGAATAAACAGGCGAATCGTATTAACAATGCAGACTGCAGAGTATCAGGAGTATTTATTATTTAAAGGTTTCTGTATTATAATATTATTACCTAAATTAAAATTTATTTAACATTTTGTTGTATTTATTTGTTAAATCTATGAGTTAAAAATATAATATCGTAGAGTTTACTAAAAATGACACTTCAAAAGATTTCATGATAAATGATTTATTTAATGATAATTTTCAACCACTTTATATAAGTATAAGATAGGTAAAGGTTTAATTTTATAGCAAATAAATGTAAAAATTTTCGGCTCGTAATGGATCTCACAGAGTACTGGAGCCTGAAATGATCCATTTGAATGATCGATCCGAATGTACCAGTACGCGTGACGAAATGTACTAGAATGATTCGGTCGCTAGAAATGAATGATTGACACATGTCTACTGCGTTATTTCGCCCGGGCGCGTCGGGATTTTAGGTAATTATTTCACGTAGGTAGCAAGAATGATAGAGGCCTGGTTCTACCTAGTTGATGAATGATAAAACATCAATGTAAATACCTATTACCAGCTTTTGTTTATACAATAACGCAGTACCAGATTTGAGTATATTTTGATGATAATACATAGTTATGTTTATCTAAGATTAAAATCATTAGCAATATAGTAATTATTAGTTATAGTATCTAAGAAAACGTAATCTATTACAAAATTTGACTTGCAATACCTATCACCTCATGATGTTTTGTTTTGTGTAAAGGATAGTAGAAGTAAATATAAGTAATACTTACGTCAAAATGATCTTCACAGAAATATAGTCTAATTTTTGTAGACAATGTTGCCAGTTTTAACCAAGTATTTCTCATATTTAAATCAGTTGGTACTTGAATACATAACTTTCCTGGCGTTTTCTATGCTTGTATTGTATTTAGGCTACAACACACCAGTGATAAAGATGATAACTCATTATTAAACATCCAAAAATTATTCTTTTCAAAATTGGCAAAGTCCTAGGACAGTTACGTCGCGAGTTAAACAGCGTGGCAGCTAGCATTTTCGCGCAAAAATTTAAAACGATAAATTAAAAGTAATTTTTATGGCACTGTTCGGTTTTAAAAAATCATATCATATCATATCATATCACAATTCATTTAAAATAATATTTTAATATGAGTGTATTGAGTGTATTGTGTAGTGTAGTGCGCAAATGGCAATCTCCGTTGAGACTTCGGATTCGGAGGACGTTTAATTAATGTCCTCCAGACCGAATTTCGGCCACGGCGGCCTGCCTCAACGGAGGCTAGCCATCGGCGCAGGATAGGATTATAGTGCCCAAGTGTATGCGCAAACACAGGTGCACTCTCTATTCCCTCACTCTCGTAATCCGATGGGACGGTAAACCGACACGACCGGGAGAGAGATCAGGCGCAGGACCAACGGCTTTACGTGCTTTCCGAGGCACGGGGGTGAGACACCGCCAACTTCCTGACTCTGAGCAGTTACTGCGAATTTCTTCACAGAAAAACTCAGTAATTGATTTTTTGTCCAGAGCCGGGATTCGAACATAGGACCTCATGATCAGCAGTCGCATTACTAACAACCACTAGATCAACGGGACAGCTGGAGAACATTATTATTATATTAATGATATAGATATAGATGATGAATGTATGTAATGTTGTACGTGTGGTTGTGCGCAGTGTCGGAGCGTCGTGCGCGCGGACGTGTGATGGTGCGCGTGCCGCTGAGCAGGCTGCGCGCTGACACGCTGCGCGCGCTGCAGCGTCCGCCACGCCGCGTGCCGCCCGCGCGCCCCACGCCCACGCACCAGGTACTGTTGTTGTTGCTGCTGCTGCTGTTGCTGCCGCTACTGTTGCCGTGTGATGGTGCGCGTGCCGCTGAGCCGGCTGCGCGCTGACACGCTGCGCGCGCTGCAGCGCCCGCTCGCCGCGTGACGCCCGCGCGCCCCACGCCCACGCACCAGGTACTGTTGTTGTTGCTGCTGCTGCTGCCGCTACTGTTGCCGTGTGCCGGTGCGCGTGCCGATGAGCCTGCTGCGCGCTGACACGCTACGCGCGCTGAAGCGTTCGCCGCACTGCGTGCCGCCCGCGCGCCCCACGCCCACGCACCAGGTACTGTTGTTGTTGCTGCTGCTGCTGTTGCTGCCGCTACTGTTGCCGTGTGCCGGTGCGCGTGCCGATGAGCCGGCTGCGCGCTGACACGCTACGCGCGCTGCAGCGTTTGCCGCGCCGCGTGCCGCCCGCGCGCCCCACGCCCACGCACCAGGTACTGTTGTTGTTGCTGCTGCTGCTGCTGCTACTGTTGCCGCGTGCCGGTGCGAAGTCCGAAGTTGACTGTTGGTATAACGAGGTGCTAAAATGTTTGTACACTATGGCTACGATGGCTATCCGAGTACAGAACCAGAGTTCGAAAGCTATCCAACTGCAGAGAGGTGTAAGACAGGGTGACGTTATATTCCCGAAACTCTTCACCGCTGCGTTGGAAGACGTTTTCAAGTTATTGAACTGGAAAGGATACTGTATTAAAATCAATGGTTAGTACACACTCACCTTCGATTTGCAGATGATATAGTCCTTATTGTTGTCTTTACAATTATACATACATACATTTTCTATGTGTCGTGTAAAACATGTTTGTAATGAATCAGTCACAGAGTACTTTGTATAGAATCAGTTTGCAATAAACACTCCTCAGAGCAAGACGTTTTTTTATTTACAAATATCTATAATCAGTGCAAAGTGAACCTTAAATACAATAACATATGGTCCTTCGAGCCGGATCAATAGTTGTTTACTGCATCGAGCGGCTGGCAACTAAGAACAATAGTGACTGCATTCCAAGGCCCTCGCTAAAAATAAAGTGCAATATTATTAACATCGTTAAGGTGCTATATTGAATTGCTTTATTCTATTACAAAACGTGAAAATGAGTAAAAAATTATTAAATTTATTAGCATAAACGTCAGTTCTATTACAAAAGACACAAGTAAACGTAAAAAAAGTGTCCTAAACAACGTTGAACAAAAGATTATATTGAAACGAGAATACAGTGCATCGAAGAATATTGGAAAACGTTTAAGTCAACGCACCAGGACTTAGTTAAATGTGTACCTAAAGAACAAAGGCCAAATATATCATATTTTGTTAACCAAGATTATTTCATCATCAAGGATTTGTACTTGTGTTTAAAGGGTGACTTGAAGGACACGTTAAGCCACCTAGAAAGTTGGAATGTAAGGACACAATGGGCACGATCGGAGGTCAGGCGTCACCGCCAGAAGTCAAACTACCTCGAATACAGTTACCTTCGTTTGGAGGGAGCTATGAAGAATGGCCGTCGTTTAATGATTTGTTTTCATCGCTGGTACATGATAACAGTTCACTCAGTAAGGTTCAAAAGTTGCATTATTTAAAATCAAGCATCGTCGGAGAAGCGGAAGCGTTATTAAAACATATTAAAATTACAGAAGACAACTATGAACACGCATGGTGTTTATTAAAGGATAGGTATGGAAATAAAAGGCTTATCGTTAACTCAATAATGAAAAGGTTATTTGGACAAAAAAGGTAATTGCACAAACATCTTTTCAAATAAAATTATTACTAGATACAACTATGGAATGCTTAAATAGTTTAAATAACCTTCAGTTATCTACCGATTCTTGGGATCCATTAATTATATTTCTGGTCGTACAGAAATTGGACCCAGATTTACATAAAGCATGGGAAGAGCATGCCTACAAAACTAACCACAATGAGTTACCTACCTGGAAGGATTTAAAAAGTTTTTTGGAGTCAAAGTTCCGCACATTAGAATTAATAACGCCATCTTCATCCATTTCACGGGAATCTAAAACAACAAAGGAAAGGTCATTCCATACGTCTGCTGTATCTCCGACTAGAACTTGCATAAGATGTAATGAAGAACACACTATAAGTCACTGTAAAAATTTTGCAAAATTGACACCTGAGGAGAGGTCTGAGTTTGTAAGAAATAAGAACTTATGTTACAATTGTTTGGCTCCAGGACATGCTGCAACAAAATGTCGTCTTCAAGTGTCCTGTAAGATATGCCATCGCCGACACCATTAATTACTACACCAACCAAAGGATGTTAACAAGCCAAACAACATACAAGCTCACCATAATTACATGGAACCCCTTGAAAACGACAATGCTGTAAAGGAGGATGAGGTACCATTATCATCACACTTAGCAACAAGAAGATCCACATTGTTATTGGTTACTGCATTAGTACCTGTAAGAGATAAGAACTGGCATACGACTATGTTACGCGCTTTAATTGACCAAGGATCGCAGGTAAACTTCATAACCGAAAGAGCGGTACAATTGCTAAGGTGTAAAAAAACGGCTGCAATGGGAAATGTAGTCATCACAGGAGTTGGTTCAACTCAAACAAGGGTTAAACATGAAGTACATCTCGAGCTTCTTTCTTAATATGACCATTAATTCAAGCTTCGTATAAACGCCTATGTCATGTCTACACGCTTAACCACTCTGCTACCATCAAGTTTTATCACTTTTCTCGGGCAAACCTGGCCGCATCTACAAGGACTTGTCTTGGCCGATCCTAGTTTTAACCAGCCAGGACGAATAGACATGCTGCTTGGAGTTGAAGTATACGCCCAAATAATGAAGAATAATATAATCAAAGAACCCCCTGGTTCCTCCATGTGCGCAAGAGACAAACCTAGACTGGATTCTTTTTGGGACTGTTCGAGACAACAATTTACGGAAGAAGATACTGGTAATGCATCACCACGTCAATTTTGATGATATGCTGCAAACATTGTGGGAAATAGAACCTGAAACTTCTAAAGAACTTACGAAGGATGAAGAAACCTGTGAACGATTATATAAAGAAAGTTACACCAGGAATGAAACGGGAGGTATATAGTTAAGCTGCCATTCAAAAATGATAACCAAAAGTCACTAGAGGGAAACACTAGAGATATAGCAAAAACTCGACTACTACAATTAAAAAGACGATTTTTCAGAAACCCAAAATTGAAAGAGGAATATGTTAAGGTCATGGAAGAATATTTAAAACTACATCATATGGAAGAAGTCCCACTAAATGATATAAACAATGCCGCAGTGTATCTTCCACATCATCCAGTAGTCAAAGAAACGAGTGAAACAACTAAGATTAGAATAGTATTTAACGCCTCATCTCCTGGAGTAAATAATGTTTAATTAATGACGAACGACATGTTGGACCTCAACTTCAGGAAGATATGAGATCATTAATAATGCGGTGGCGGCTTAGGAAAATATATTTTGTGGCTGATATAGAGAAAATGTATCGCCAAATCTTAGTAAAAAGGAGGACGCAGACTATCAGCGTATTTCGTTGCGTAATAATCCCATGGACTGTATCAAAGACTACCGCTTTTTGAGGGTTACATTTAGTACAGCTTTGGCACCTTACCTTGCCGTGAAAACCCTCCAACAAGTAGCTGACGACGAAGGCAAGTATCACCCAGTTGCTGCTAAAACAATAAAAAAAAAGACTTTTTTATGGATGATTTAATGTCGGGTCAAGATAATATCACAAAAGCAATAAGAACTGCAAAGGAAGTTTCCTACATTTTACAAAAGGGTGGTTTTAAATTACAAAAATGGGCGTCTAATAGTTTGGATTTTTTGAAGGAATTCGATTCCGATGAACGAAGCTCTCTAGTCAATATTGATTTCGATGTACACGGGACGGTGAGAGCACTTGGTTTATCCTGGAACATAGAGAAGTACATACTGGAGTACAATATTAATTTACCAACGCCCTCTGAAACCATTACTAAAAGAATCATACTTGCAGAAATCCAACGGTTGTTTGATCCACTTGGCAGGTTAACTCCAACCCTACTCTCTGCAAAAATAATAATGCAGAAGTTGTGGCTAAAGAAAGTCTCCTGGGATGATGCCGTTGAACCTGAAATAAAAAAAGAATGGTTAAACATAAGAAATAGCTTAAATCAACTAAATGAGATTAAAATACCTAGATGCATCGATCACTAATGAAGAACTAGATACACAATCCCATACAAAAGTTCTCTAAAAACTGTCGCCAATTGTTGTGACGTAATTTTAGTTGAAATAAATATACATTTATGTAAATTCAACCTTAAACATATTGCCTATAGTTTTATTCACAAAGATACGTACGAAAAGCAATAATTTTTATGACCGAGGCTCGTAGCTGGGGCAAGGAATCATTGGAGTCGAACTGCCCAATATATTTTGTTACTGTTATTTTAATTTTAAAATGTTTCAAACTTGTTTTTATAACTGGTGTACATAAAGCATATTCTATTCTTTTCTGTAGTGTATTATATGTAATGGTTATAATTTACCTGAATGTAAATACGTTTATAGATAGGACACCACATTCATTTAGTAACGAAAGTAGTTGAAACAGTCATAATTATTTATTTATTCTTCATCTTGTGTTAATAATTTAAAAATATTGCTTGACAAAGAACTTAAATCTAAATTCAATAGTTACTAAATATAAAAAGTATGTACAGAAAGTTTTAAGTCGTAGTCACATATTCATCACTTTCTAAGATATGCTTCGAACATACAACGCTTCCTTGGGTCGGCTTGAAGAATTCTTCGTACCTTTGACATGCTATGACTGAAATCTATTCCGCACACCTAACTGGATCTCGAGGAAAGCTGAAAAATTTAAAATAAAATCTCACATCTTTAAATTTACTACATGCACATATTCAAAATTAAGTCTATAAAATGTTACTATAATATTTAGAGAACCTATAGAAGTCTCATTAAACAAAAAAACAATCATACTTTAATAATAAAAAATAATAACGTCTCCAACAAATGGAACAGAGTCAACGCACATACCTCGAACAATTATGACTTATTTTATTAAGACTTAATTTAAAAAAATGTTTTACGGATATTTTTTGACAAAATATAAGTATTTACAATACAGTGATAAGAATTAAATAATGATAATATTAATACGTACCGAAATTAGAAAATTCCATCCTTTTTTAGCGTCCTGGATGTGTGATTTTTACACTTTTTAAACGAGCACTCAGGCATGTTTACCGTCGGGGCGTTCGAATGTAACTAAATTAAAAGCGCACCCAAATGTTCGAATGGGTGCTCATTCGGTGAGGTCGTTTTTTGTCACTGATTGTGTATCTAGTTTTTATTAGTGATCGATGCCTAAATGGCTTGGTACTACAGAGAAAAATATAAAAAATCTCACGATACATGGTTTTTGCGATGCATCAACAAGAGCGTATGGAGCAGTTACTTATTTAAGAGTTAAACATACAAACAATACTGTCACTACTTACCTTATTGCTGCAAAAAGTCATGTAGCACCGGTAAAGCCACTTTCGCTTCCACGATTAGAATTGTGTGGTGCGCTACTGTTGTCAAAATTACTAAAACATATAAGTGAAGCTACTCGCATTCCTCATGCACAGATTCATGCCTGGACTGACTCAACGATCGTTTTATCATGGCTGCAAGGAGATCCATCTAGATGGCAAACTTTTGTAAGAAATCGAGTCGTCACTATTTCGGAGAACAGTGGAAACCAATGGTATCACGTCCAATCCAAGGAGAATCCAGCCGACATTGCTTCTCGTGGATTACTATTACCTGAATTAAACGGGTGTAAGTTGTGGTGGCAAGGCCCAGAGTGATTAAAACGGGAAGATATTTATTTGATAATGAAAACATCAAGTACTGAAGAAACGGACATAGAAAGAAAAATTATTATCAACGCCAATCTTAAGAAAGAAAATAAATTACCCTTAAAAGGATGTTCATGGTCTAGCCGTTTTGGAGAGTTTAATAACTTAAATGAATTGTTAAGGATACTAAGTTACTGCAAAAGATTTTTAAATTTTAAGTAGCAAAAAAGTGATATAACACAGTCTATTTCTACAGAAGAATTATAAATCTTGCCTTAGAAATTGGTGTAAGAATTGCTCAAGAAGAAGATTTTACAGATGAAATAACATGTCTTAAAGGAAGAAATCGCATAAGTAGCAAGAGTTCCATAAAGAATTTAAATCCTTTTCTCGATAGTAAGAATATTCTCAGGGTGGGCGGCAGACTCAAACATGCGTCAATTTCGGAGAACATGAAATATCCAATGATATTAAGTCACCAAAATAACTTGGCTGTATTGATTGTACGCGATGCTCATAAAAAAACCCTACATGGAGGTGTTCAACTAACCATGAACTATGTAAGGTCTCGCTTCTGGATAGTAAGAGTTAAGTCACTGATAACATCCACAATTCATGTGTCTTATTTGTGCCAAACAACGAGCTAACACTAGAACCCAAATTATGGGTGACTTACCAGAAGTAAGAGTTACACCGTCGCGGCCATTTTTACATGCGGGAGTCGAGTTCGCTGGTCCACTGCAAATTCTTATCATAAGAGGTCGAGGAATCAAAACTGATAAGGCATATATTTGCATCTTCATCTGTATGGCTACTAAGGCAATTCACTTGGAGCTGGTTGAAGATATGAGTACCAACGCATTTTTAGGAGCCTTCAAAAGATTTGTTGCCAGAAGAGGTAAATGTAGTCATATTTGGAGTGACCAGGGGTCAAATTTTATAGGAGCTAACAGGGAGTTGAAGGATTTATGGCAACAGGCAAGATTAGAAATTCCTGGATCTTTATCAGATATAGTCGCAGAAGATGGCACACAATGGCACTTCAATCCACCATACAGTCCAAATTTTGGTGGCCTTTGGGAGGCAGGCGTGAAGTCCATTAAATACCACCTAAAGAGGATTTTAAATAGACACCTTACATTTGAAGAGATGTCCACCACTCTGTGTCAAAACTCTAGATCTTTGTGTCCAATAGATACAACAGACATTGATTCTTTGGAGATACTCACTCCAGGACATTTTTTAATTGGTGAGGCTCCAATTAACATTCCAGAACCGGACTTACGGCAAATTCAAGTAAATAGATTATAACATTGGCAGTATACTCAGAGACTAATACAGGACTTTTGGCATAGATGGCAGAATGAATACTTGGCTAGGCTGCAACAAAGACCAAAATGGTTAAAACAAACTCAAGAGTTTAAAATCGGTGACTTCGTACTTATTAAGGAAGAAAATCTTCCTCCTGGGAAGTGGTTTTTGGGGCGTATTGTACAAAAGCATCCTGGACCGGATAATATATGACGTGTTTATAGTTTAAAATGTAGAGATAAAATTGTTAAAAGATCTGTTTCTAAGTTATGTTTGCTTCCAATTAATGGTTATGATTAATGTTTGTTACAAAAGTTTCTAGTATTTAAGATAATTAATTTAATGTTTGAAACAAACTATGGTGTTAGTTTATTTGCTTATATCTCATGAGTAAAATCAATTCATAGTGTGATATGGAAATTACTGAATTATTTAATTTACTTTACGTTGTTTCTACTTTCTTTTGTAATTTAATATCCTTAAAATTTCTTAGTTAATGAATAATGTTTGTTTTATAAAAACCGAGGGTTTTTGGTGGGCGGTATGTTGTGGTTACAATAATTATACATACATACATTTTCTATGTAAAACATGTTTGTAATGAATCAGTCACAGAGTACTTTGTATAGAATCACTTTGTAATAAACACTCCTCAGAGCAAGACGTTATTTTATTTACAAAAATCTATAGTTAATGCAAAGTGAACCTTAAATACACTTATGGCAGAATTGCTGGCGGACCTAAGCACAATGCTCATTGAGCTCAATAGTGTCTCCCAACAGATAGGTCTTAAGATGAACATGGACAAAACAAAGATCATGTGTAAAATCTATGTCACACCTATGCCGATAGTTGTTAAGAGCACTACGCTCGAAGTTGTTGATGAGTACGTTTACCTGGGACTAATAGTCCGACTAGGTAAGTCCAACTTCGACCGTGAGATCAATCTACGGATTCAACTCGGCTGGGCAGCGTTAAGAAAATTACGACACATTTTCTCTTCAGGTGTATCTCAAAACCTTAAAACTGGATTTTATAACCAGTGCGTGTTGCCAGTGATGACTTACACATCTGAGACGTGGTCCTTTACTGCTGGTCGTATGAGGATGCTCAGAGTCGCTCAGCGAGCTGTGGAGAGGGCTATGATTTCTATGCGTGATAAACTGAGAAATGATAATATCCGCAGTAGAACCGATTACCGATTAGTAAGCTGAAGTGGCGATGGGCCGGCCATATAGCTCGAAGTACCGACAAACGATGGGGAAAAAAGGTTGTCGAGTACCGGTAGGCGTAGTGTAGCGCGACCCCCCACTAGATGGAGTGACGACCTGGTAAGACATGCAGGAAGTCGATGGATGCGGGTGGCTCAGGACCGTGCTTTGTGGCATTCCTTGGGCTAGGCCTGTGTTCAGCAGTGGACTTGTGAAGGGCTGCAATGATGATGATGATATATTTCAAGTTAACCCTGACTTGTAAATTTTTCTAATATATATTTTATTTTATTTACAATTTTCTGTAGTAATAATTTATTGATTACATTAAGGCATTATTGTCAACCAGACTGTACCTGCGTATACCGCACCCACAGCAAACTTCACAGCCGCCATTAAGTTTGAATCGACTAATATTGTCTGTAAATTTAGTTAGGTGGGTTAACTGCTCAAGTAATCTCTCAGATATTGCTCAGAAGAGCTGCCGTGGCCAGGGTTAGGACTTATATTCTTTACTTTTATATTCCGTATTATTTGCAAGCACTCATAAAAACTAATGAATATCGAAAAGAAGCTGACTGTCATTATATTATGGATTCAACATTCAATCGCTTATAATTTCATTTAATATTATTAATTTGTTGTAGTAACAGTCTCAGAATGATTATATTTAATTTATTAATGTTTATTTTCGGTAACAGGGTGTGGAGGTGGCGAGCGTGACGCAAGAGCGACCTGCTGTCGGTCAGACGCCCATTTATTACTCGTACTTCGAACGATTGCCTGCAGACGCGCTATCGGATGAAGAACGCGACCATAAGTTAGTCTTTTATTATATTTTGGATTGTTACGTCAAAAGTATACACTATCGGATGAAGAACGCGACCATAAGTTAGACTTTTATTATATTTTGAATTGTTAGGGCAAAAGTGTACACTATCGGATGAAGAACGCGACCATAAGTTAGTCTTTTATTATATTTTGAGGTCTGAGGTCAAAAGTATACACTGAAATTGTATTTGTCGTATAGTGAGGGCGCGACAAGCGACCATTGTTTAAATCTCTTAAGAGTTAACAGTAATGGCTGAGTTCGATTTCGGAAGTACTATACTCGTACTAAAGACTAGCTTAAAGAAGCAGCATAATGTTGGTGTTGTCTTTCGTGTGGCAAGTAATGAAAGGTGGTGACAAAGACGCATCTACGTTGCTTGCCGACGATGGATACAGGTGTTTATGTACTACAGCATGCACTTTACCATCAAAATCACCCTTGAATAAGGCAAATGTCAATATATTGTAGTATTTAAAATAAAATCATATATATCTCTAAAATCATATATTTATTCTTCTTAAACTTTAAGTGTAGTATTTTTGTTGCTGTATTAATGATTGCGGATCCATTATACTAAAGACACGACAAACCTGCCTTCTCTTTTCACTGAGATATGTCTCTCTATCTCTCTCTTCTCTCTCTCTCTCTCTCTCTGTATCTTCTTTTCTGTCGAATACTGGAAAAATACCGTCCGAGTAGAGCGTTTGATTGTTAAATGTTTCAACGATACTTATTACTTAGTTTCTCTTTTAGAATGCTGTATTATTATCAAAAAATCACACTTATTTTTGCAGGTATTACCTAAGCGAAGCGGCACGTCTCCGTACTGCGGCAGAACGGGAACAAGAGCCATTAGCTCGCGTCATGCTATACCTGGAGTCAGTGCTGTGCTTCGTTCTAACCGGTCGGGTGCTGGAGCTAGAACTTGACACTAAACGCGCTTTCACAATATATCGGGAAACAATCGAGTATATAAAATCAATACACTCGATGCCGCAACGATTTCGCGCTTCGCCGCATTCCACCTTTAGTTCAACATTCAGCAAGCTCGATATATTAAGGTAAGTTTCCTGGGATGTATTTATAATTTTGAAACCTTTTCATTTATTTGACGTTTTGTATTGATGATATTTCGATTATAAGAGCACAAACAACAAACTCTCGTATCATTTTATCTTCTTGCACATTTAGTTTTCAATTCCCGCATAGATTCTGTGGCGATCCTAGAACGAATAATTTTCTTTCGCATTATTTTTAACTTTATCGGACCATATTTTTTGTTAATTTAACTAAAATATTTTCTTTTAAAATGCATAGAAATATTATTTTTAATAAAATAATCATTAAAAATATTTCTTGAAATTTAAATTGTATTATCTATGAAAATATGAACATGGAATATTCATATTTTCTAGATAAGGCTAATTGATTTATTTTGCAATAAATTAGTGTAGTGGCACCTCCACTACGCATAGCTCCACTAAGCATATACACTAGCCCATATCATCCCGTGGCTGTCGTAAATCAGGATATGGGCAGCAGCGTCTACCAAATAACGACAAAAAAAACTGTGGCTGCTAACCTGCTCGCCGAACATGGCAACTATGGCAATCTATGAGACAATTTATAGGGGAGGCCTGTGTTCAGCAGTGGACTTCAGTAGGCTGGAATGGTTTCTTATATTTACGCGAACACTACACATTGAAATAATACTAGTTTTTACGGAATTTATATCAGCCTCCTGCCCGTGGCCATGAGTGCTGTAAAGCGTTCGAAACGTCGGGTATTTAAAAAGTTAAATATACGCGATAAATTCCGTAAAAACTAGTATTATTTCAAGGCTGGAATGGTACATTAGCGTTGGATATCAACATGAACCATTCCTTTAATTATTGTTGTTACAAATAGGAAAACTTTACTCTTAGTTGGATCGAGACAACGAATTCATCCAGGGTAAACCAACAGTTGATGACTCCGTGGCGCAGTGGCTTAGCATTGAGTGGCTGCGCCGGGGGTCGCGGGTTCGAATCCCGCATGGAACAACTATTTTTATGGCCTACAAATAGTTGTTCCGGGTCTGGATGTTTGTCCTTGTGCAATTTATGTTTGTAAACTGCCTCCACGATACAGGAGCAAATCCTAGTGTAGGGGTAACGTTTTATAAGAAGACAAAGAATAAGAAGACAAAAGAATAAAGTTATGAGCTAACCTCAGAACATATTTGTGACAGGGTATTTAAGTTTTATTTTTATTTTGTTGCAGCCTCAGAGTGCAAGCGCTATTGTACCTGCGGATGTTCAAAATGTACAATCGTGAAGTAAAGGAATACAACAAGATTGTGCAGGAATATCAACAGAAGGTTTGTTAACAAAATTTTGATACCAAAATATTTTTATCTGTGCTTATAGAACTGAGCAACAGAAAAATAATAAAGGCATATAGGAAGAAATCAGTTAATATGACAGATATTGATTCTACGTAACATTTTTTAATCTGTGATAATTGTAACCGCGTAATATGCGTGTTCCCATCTCTAGTTTTAGGTACTGCCCACCCTCCCACTCCTCTTGTCACCAGTAAAGTTCAAATTAAAGTTAATAAAAATATATCTGCGCAGCCACTCGCTACTAACTTCAGCCGGGTCAAGATAATATACGTCAGGTGTACGTATGTAGTGGAACGATTACCATCCGGCCCCACCGTGGTGGGCGAGCAAATAAAGTAGTGTTATGAAGATTTTTAAAATAATTATCAATGATCGTTTACTTTATCAAGTTTTCTATCTCAAAAAAGAAAATCTCTATTTCGGATAAAATATAGTTTAGATTAATTTTGGTATTGCTCTCTTTCTGTCTGTGAAGTATTTTATCATAATCGTTTCAGTCTTTTCGAGGCTTAGTCCACACTAGACGGGTAGACAAACAATTTAGTAATAGTTATTCATGTTTAAGCTCAAATAAAGGAAACAGACATTTCTATTTTTACGTATGTTTATATTATATAGGAGGCAATTCAGAAAAGTGATGATAACAACATCGGGGGATACGGGTTGGTGTTGCAGCTAGCTACATATTATCTATCATCTAATACCAAAACTTAATCACACTACTCGATAGCTAAAAGATCAAAGAATTCATAAGGTTGAGTGAGAGCTGTGACGCAAGGCGTGCGGCGCAGGGGGAGTGTCGTGCGGTTAAAGAATGGGATTGAAAATTTCATCACCTTTATTCACCTCTCGCTAGCACACTGTTTCTGTCTATACTCACACGCAATAGTAAGACTGCAAAATAAATACGTTGCGTTGTGCGTTTTTCGTACGTTCTATAACTTCAGTCTAAATTGTATTGGAATCAATGATAACAAAATGCCATAAACTACAAAAAAAATTTTGAGAGTTTTCTTCGTAATTTATGTTGATTATGTTTGTTAATATTTTTGTATAAAATATTTACATTCCATTGCGACATGAGTAACCGTTTTTAAAATTTTCGTTTGTCTGGCTGTTTCTCCGAGCTTCGGAATGGCTCATTTTAATATTCATGCGCAAATAGAGAAATTTCTCCGACATTGTATTAAAATAGAAATATTGATGAGATAGAATAAATGGTTTTAATGATTATCTTAAGTGTAAATAATGTCATAATAAAAGATTACACCCACATTAATAGAGAGATCCGCCAGACCGGTTCGCTAGTTAAAAATGTTATTTATAACTTAATATACTTGGGTATACAATTATATTCAAATATTATTTCATTAATATAAAATTTTTAATTAACCGAATAATATACGACTAACAACGATATACCGTTATTAGCGGGTTTACACTGTCGGTACTGTGCATGTTGACGGTAGGGGCTCGATGAGTCGCCATTTCTAATCCCATTCTTTATTCGTACGGACTGTACATGACTGTATTCACGACTCGGCTATATAATATACCTTGATTTTTCTGTGAAATATTAGTTTATAGAAAATCGATTACTTTAATAATCTGCAATGTTAATGATGGTGGTGATTTTTATATAGAATAAAGGTGACAAACGAGCACACAGTAACCAGTATAGACCACAGTAAGTGCGTACTGTGGTCCGTAGACATCTATTTTAATACTCTATTAAAAACCATAATGCGGATGCATTGGCAACTCTCATGACTAGGATGGAATGCCTCGTTTCTAATAAAAATAATCTCAGGTTCTCTAACAATAATAGTTGTCGAATATTGAGATTACTTTGATAGTCAATAATGTTATTGTTGATGGTGATGATGACGATGGTAATTTGTTGTGTGCGCAGCCGGCGTGCGCGGAGTCGGTGTCGTCGGTGTCGCCGCTGTCGCCGACGCCGTCGCCGGCGGGCTCCGCGGGTTCGGCGGGCTCCGCCGGCTCTGCGGGCTCGGGCAGCGCGTCGTCGGGCTACTGCTCGCTGGCGCACGCAGTGCCGGCGCACGCGCACCACGCGCTGCTGCAGCTCACCAAGTACTACACCTTCCTGTACGTGGCGCACGACCTCTGGGAGCAGGCCGACGCGCTCTGCAGGCTCAGGCCCAACCAAGGTACCGCCACCCGCATCACCCGCACCACCAACTTACCAACACTTTGTTTATTCAACCTTCATTCGCATACAAATTCTCCAAACGAGTAACATGCCAAAATCCTACATTAACATTAACCTTCCGTACATATACCTATGCTTAATTAACAATAATACATTTGGACACTGGTGCTTGATACATATTATTATTTATTTATCTTTATTGTTAACACGAAAGAAAGAACGGATAAGAATGATAGAAGAATATCCAGGCAAATATTAAAATGTTCTGGAAACTCGTAAGAACTGCCATTCAAAACAGCCTATAATTAATGCTATAAGAGACGAGAATTACTATATTCTGAATGATGAAGTTTTGAGTTTAAAGAGATGGAAGGAATATTTTGAAAGCGTGTTTATGAGTGAGGAGACAACGTGTGAACTGAATGAAATAGAAACTCAGAAAGAAGAGGAAGGAGATAGCGAGATAAGTATGGATGAAATAATGAAAGCAATGAAAAGCATGAAAGCAGGTAAGGCTGCCGGACATTATAGAGTTTCACTCGAAATGCTAAGGGCTGGAGAGGAAGTAGTGGCAGTCCTGCTGCACACCATGTTTAATTTATGCTGGGAACTGAAGCGGGTACCGGGAGACCGGTGCAAAGCCGTTATAGTCCCAGTATATAAAGAAAAAGCGTCGCAGCAGGACTGTAAAAACTACCGCGGTATCGGCCTTCTTGTGGGAAAACTGTATTTAGTACCTTGTTGTATTAGTACCTTAGCACTAATTGAAAGGGTCATGAAAGAAACCGATGGAAAAATTTGGGATGTGCAAGCGGGATTTAGAAAGGGAATGGGATGTACAGATCAAGTCTTTTCCATGCGCATGATCGCGGAGAAGTTTTTGGCCAAAAACCAAAAGGTTTTTTGTGCGTTCATGGACTTGGAAAAGGCCTATGACAGAGTGGACAGGAATGTGCTATGGCAAACACTGAACTCATTTGGGTTGAGCGCTGGCTTGATACAGGCATTGGAATCTCTTTATAGGGACATAGGGAGGTGCTTATGTTAGGATCAACGGGGTCTACTCGGACTGGTTTGGCATCCATAAAGGTGTCAGACAGGGCTGTGTGGCTTCCCCGTGGCTGTTTAACCTATTTATGGACAGTTGTTTGCAAAATTTGAAAGTTGAAGAATGCGGATTAAGAATGGGTGAGTTAACCGTCAAATGCCTTTTGTACGCCGATGATCAAGTTATTCTTGCGTCGTCGGCGGCCGAGTTGCAAATGATGGTTACATTAATGAACAGGTCATTAAAAGAAAGGGGTATGAAAGTGAAAGCAAGTAAGACGAAAGTTATGGTTTTTGAAAGAGATGAAAGTAAAACGATATGTGAAATAAAAATAGAAGGGGATGAAGGGTGGAAGGGGAAGTTGATCGACCAAGTAGGTGAGTTTGTATATTTGGGTTGCGTATTTAGCAGCGATGGGAGATATGATAAGGGTATAGAACGACGAGTGTACGCAGGAAATACAGTAAATGGGGCTCTACACTCTATTGTGAAGAGTTAAAATGTGTCAAAAAAGGCACGTGTGGCAATTCACAATGCTGTGTTTGTCCCTACTTTAACGTATGGTAGGGAAAGTTGGGTGCGGCAGAAGAAGCACGAGAGTAGAATAAATGCAGTAGAAATGCGGTCGTTAAGGAGTATGTTAGGGCTGAATCTGAATGACAGGGTGAGAAATTGTGTGATAAGAGAAGAGTGTGGTTTGCAAGATGATGTTTTGACCAGGATTAAGAAAGGAATGCTTCGGTGGTTTGGTCATGTGGAAAGAATGAATGAGGAAAGAGTGGCAAAGAAAATGTATGTTGCAGAAGTGAATGGCAGAGTCGGAAAGGGACGCCCTAGGCGAAAATTTATCGACCAAATTAGCGATTTATTAAAAACGGGCCAAATTAGGAGTACCCTTAACCGACGAGCATGTATGTATATGTTAACACCTTTATAAATAGGATAACAAAAAGCGAACTTAATATCTATCGGTATTCTCTGCCAGTCAACCCGTGGAATAATAAGATTTTGTGGCAAGTATATATATACATAATATTATCACCGTAATCCATTGCACGCCAATATAGTGCCGTGGAAATCGTAAATAACAAAGAGAAACGAAACCATAAAATAAACAAAAAGGTTTTCCTAATTGCGATCTGCTGTTGCTTACCAAGTGTGACAACTGTAGCAAAATCCTCTATGACGCAACCTATGGGAGAAGCCTGTAAATATGTATATACAATGTATATTTATGATCGTTATAACAATATACAACAAAACGCTAACACAACCGACAACTGAACTGAACAAACCATATAATATAAGTTATAACAGTTTAAAACAACAGAAAAATACACTACAGCATATTAACGGATTAGGGAAATTTAACAGATTTGTCCACCTTTAATGTTTAGCGGTAACCAATTGATGTATATATTGCAACATGTTATATATATTACTTGCGGATTTAATATCACAATGCATTCACTACCAGTCTACATTCAGAGTATATTTTCAATTACAAACTCAAGTGACGGAACTCCTAGTCTACCTAAGAATCCGTCTGTGTCCGGACGTAGGCACCACCACTCTTATATATAACTGCCGCAAATAATAGTGCGTGCGAGGTTGTTTTAAAAGTATACATGTAGAACCTATAAGATCATAGACCATGAATCTATTCATAGTAGTCATCAAGGATGACAATTTTTCTGTTTGAAGTTGGCTTCAAGTAGTCTAGTAGGTTTAGAAGTTTAATTGATGTTCAGTCGAAGATAAATATAGGTGTCTATAGACCACAGTATTCATTTACCATTAAGTGTATTTCGTGATCATTACATTACTTGTATAAAAAATTATTACACAACATTTTTTTGTGTGCTCATTATTCGCTGTTTTTAATTTATTTAGTGAATTTTCATAAAAGTAACAACTCACCAACGATTTCTCCAGACTGTTACGGTTTAAGGACTTTCAAGAGAAGAGCGTACTCTTTTTTAAAAGGTCAGCAACGCATCTGCAGTTCCCATGGTGTTACAGTTGTTTTTGGGCGGCGATAGTGACTTACAACCAGGGGAGCCGCATGCTCGTTTGCTCCCTCTTGCATTAAAAAGTTTTTTTTTAAAAGGGTGGCAAACAGCACACAGTCCACCTGCTGGTAAGTGGTTGCTGTGGCCAATAGACATCTATATCTATCTTCGATTACGAATCAAAATGTGTTGTCACCCGTGAGGACTAAGATGGAATGCCTCGTTTCCAGTAAAAAGGGTCTCCGGTTCTCTACACTCACCATACGAAACACATTTTACGCTGGTATTCTGTGAGAGCGTAGTCCTTCCCCGGTCGAGCCGACCCATTCGTGCTGCAACTATTTTACTAATATAACTGCAGCATGGCTCTACCACGTCAAAAATCTGTTATCGAAAAATAATTGTGTTTAATTGCAGACCTGTTCATAGCGGTGGACCGGAAATGCGGTCCTTTGACGTTGTTCTCTACGTTCCGGCACCTGGTGCAGTACGTGCGGCACGCGATCGCGCTGCTCAAGAGCGCGCCGCGCGAGTGACCGCGCGCCCGCCGCCCGCCCGCGCCGCCCCCCTGCCTCCACTGCCACCACTACGCGCTCGCCGCACGCTCTACACGTAGCGCGCCGCGCCGGCCGCGCAATGGACATGCAACCGCGTCGCACGTGTACTGCGGACTTTACAATGAACAGCAAATGTACAACTTGTATTTATTAAGAATCCGTTTACACTGTGCCCTCCATCTAAACGTGATGCCCAAGTACTGCGGAATCTGCGTTGCCAATTTCATCCGCAGTGTTGTTACTTGGTTTACTCTGTGTGTACATATTTTTACATGTGCCCGCCAAATCAAAACGGACTCATCACTTTGTAACCAAAATTACGGCTGCCAGTAAGTGATGTTACGTTTGTTTACATTGACATTGTTCTTATTCAAAATCTTACGTACTTATTAATTCTCCGCAGAAAGATGAAAAGACATGCATTATATCTTAAAAAATGTTTTTTAATTTATATATAATTAAAACTCTTTAAGCATTGCCTTGATGATTTTTAGACGCTCTACGGTAAAACTAAGTTATGAGTCCTCGGTTTTGAAATAATGCAGCCGTTTGTGAATTGTATATTTTTTATTTAAATCAATTTAAACTGCGTCCGCCAAGTGAATGTGCTATTGACTATACATTACCAGCTTTGTATACAATTCTGTCTGCAACACGTGATGCACCAACATTGTACATCGCGTCAAACCGACCGGGCGCAGATTCAACCTGCACGCCGGCCTATACGAACGATACAATTCCTGCTTCAGACACAGTACCACAACAAGTCTTACTATGGCCGGGTTTGTTTGTACTGCATTTCCTACGCATCATTTTACACTATGTAGTTATAAATTTCCGTATTGTAGTGCATTTTTTTACGTCTTTGTGGGGAATGTTAGATAATAAATCGCGGTTTTAACTTTCAATTGAGTGCTGGATTTTAAAACGGTTGTACACGGGTTGAGCAATATAAAATTATAGAGGGTTACATAATTGTAATTATCTACTAACTTGCAGGAATTCAAAACAATGTTTTATCGCGTTATGAGCTCTTAATATTTTTAAACTTGTACGCAAATGCCAATTTTTGAAGTTGTACACAAATCACACAATTACATTTTACTTTTAAAATTGTATTAATAATGAAAAACAGATAAAATCTATTTATTAAAATGTAATAATATTAAGTAACATTCACATTCCTGGCTTTTATTATTTATATTTTCAACTAGCTGTTCCCCGCGACTTTGCCCGCGTGTAATTTAGGCTTTTAATATTTTTTTGAGCGAAACACTAATGCGTTTTCCAAAGTAAAAGTGACCTATGTTACTCCTTATAACATCAGCTGCCGGCGAAAGTCCCATCAAAATAGGTCCAGCCGTTTCGGAGATTAGCTGAAACAAATAGACAGAAAGACAAAATTTTGCGGTATTGGTATAAGTACCATATTACGTTCATATGCATTTAGTAATGAGCTGTTATTTTGACATCACAAACCGACACTTGAACTTTGTTTATTTGTATAGATAGAGTTTTTATACTCAAACCGTGTACAACGTTACTAATTTTATGTAATATAGTTCTCCTTCCCTCTCAACTTATCCTAATGCATTCGAAAACACCAAGTTTTACACATATGTTTACGCTTAAGTTGCTTAAATTTTTTATCATAATATTAATATTATAGAGAGTTTATTGTTTGGGATAGATGTGCGGTTTTGTGTATAAAGAATATATTTTTGAGTATTTATATACATTTTTGTGTTGATGTGTAGCTTAAATTTTTTAATGGATTAAGATAAATTTGAAACGATTGAATTGAATCGAAATGCGTTGAAATGTCAATAATAAATGAAGTGGTGTAAAGACAAGGCGTTCGATCTTGTGGAGAGATAAGGTTGATGTGTCGAATGGATTGTAAATAGGAAATTTCGGGAAAATTGATTATGCATAATGAATAACGTAATTTGATTAGAATTAACTATGTGACAAACATTCGCAAAGTATATTTTAAAGACAATTAGTAATGAAATCGCGTTAAATTCGAAAAGCAACAAAACAGCAATAATTTCAAAATGTATTTGTGAAAGATTGTCAAGTGATGTGTTTCCTTTCCTTTAGACGGTTTCAACTTAGTAAGGTTACTCGATACGTAACATTATAAATCTAATTAAACGTAAAAAAACAAACCAAATTTTGTTACAACTTTAATTATTACAATTAATGATGATTGGGTAGTTTCAATATTGATTAGAAAAACAAAGGATATCCTCCTTTGTTTTTCTATAATCAAATCGAAAATAAATAAAATCGAAAATAAATGTATATTTAATTAAACAGAGATGCGCTTGGGGTAACAATTAATTGAGTATTATGACTGTTGGTCGATTTATTCCAATGTATTACATAAAATTAAGTATTTAATCTAATGGTTGCGACCAAAACGGAACAAAGATTCGATGAGATCGATCGAGAAGTGTTACTTTTCATTCTTAGAACTTCGTTCGTTCACTTCCCAAAATTTTGACCAAAAATTGTGTAAATTGTATCAAAGTATATTGTAAATAAATATCGATCGTAAAGCAACGCGGATCACTGCGCTATTTTAAGCTCGGCAAAATAAACTAGGCGTTAGTTTTTATCATATCTTAAGTATTATTTTTGTTGTAGCAACAACCCTATCAATGGAAACTGTACTATCGGGAACACATATACGAATTGATTTGTGTCTAGGCGTAATGGAAGTTATACGAGAAAAATAAAATATTGAGCGTGTGGGCCAATTGAGTATATTATCTCACTAAATGGGAACACTTGTAGTACTTCGCGTAAAACGTTTTGTAGCTTTCATATGAGAATGCTTCCGGTATCACGCAAATATACATTGATTAATCTAGTTTCTTCCATTTTCAAGTCGGTGGGGTGCCAGCCGGGCCGGCAGATTCAAAAATGCCAGCCACTCCAATATTCGCCAATTTGTATCAAAAAAATTTAAATTCGTTAAAGTCTGCTATAGTATTTAGATACTTGCCGGCTTGCCTGAATGGGATCTATTAATGTGTCGTTATTTAGATTTCGGATATTCAAAGGCCATTTATTTTCATGATTTTTTGTCAATAAAATCTTTAAATTTTTCTAATAAAATATAGCTTAGATCCCTTCACGAACTAAAATAGCTTGAATGTCAAGAGAATTGCTCCCTATGCATTCATGACGTTTGATTACAATCAGTTCCGCCATTTCGAATATTAGCCCGGACAAACAGGTAGACGGACAATTTTTTTTAAAAACGGTTATCATGGCTTATTCATACAAATAACACAACAGTTCGTACGATAAAATAATCATTTCAATTTTATTTATATAAAATAAAACAAATAATGCATTTTTCATACTTATGCATGGCAAGTGTGTGTACAGATTATTAAATTAATTTATATGTTAGAGATTTTCAGTAGCGTCAAACTAAACGTCTAAACTAACGTCTAAACTAAAACTTAAATAAAAAGTTGACTTATCATTCCCAAAATGCCGCCCCCCTCTCTTTCTACGCTACTCTTTCTACTCTTTTCATTGATTTATCATTTTCATTTTCGATAGAGTCTAATATGTTTTAAGAGTGTAATATTTTATGGGATTCCGTTTACGATAAGTTACCTCATAGAAAAATTCCGAAAACTCGTACCTAGGTTATTTTCCCTGCACAACCATATATATTCGTGTCATACTGTTATAATATTTCTTATACCAAACATATAATGTTTATATGGATTATTATGTGTTAATGTTTCCAATGCTATCATTCTGCTATTAGTTTTAATTAAAAAAAAATCGAATCGATTCGTTGCGATTCGATTTGAGTGATACCGAAAGTCGTTTTCGATTCATTGCATCGGAACGAACCAGAGAAAGATAAGAAATAGTTTAAATTGAAATTTTAATATAATCTTATTAAAAATATGGAATCTGTTTCTAAAGCATGTACACAAGCACGAACAAACTGTGTAAATGTTCCTAACGTCACGTGTACCCACGGAACAATGATTGAGGAAAACAATACATCATGTACACAATTTTTTATTATACATATCAGTAAGTTTTTCAGGGAGCGTAATAATAGAAGGTTATCTAGAGTTGATTACAAAAATGAAATCGGAATGACAATAATATTATTTCTAGAGCAGTGCTAGATTCATTTTCATGTACGTTCCAAAGTCATACCAGATTCTCAAGTAACAAAAGTGAATGACGATGAGAACAAACACGTTCTAAACAAATGCGTGTCCTTTAGAAGCTACAGTGCAATACATTTTGTTTGTTCGCACCGAGTACAATTTGTTTACTATCAATAAATGCTTTCAAAATTACCGGTATCTAAACAACGTCGTGACACCAATTTCTACATTTTTCTCTCGGTTGTTTATCAAATTTATGTTGTGATTGTAAATACATATATTATACATTTTGTAATGAATATACATATTAGTGCCAGATAGGTTTTTGTATGAACGTTTATAGTAGAATGGGTAGTTGTGAGCGAGGCTATATTGTGAGTAGGGTGGATTTTAATACTTTCGGTGTTAGATTTATGCGTCGGGATAAATATATCGGAGGGTTTTAAATTTCGTACGTATAGGTTACGGATGAGTACCGTTATAAAAATACGGTTATGCCTCCACAGTGTACAACTCGACAAAAAAAAAACAAAAAACAAAACGTAACGTTGGTAACAAGAAGCGAGATGCCTTGTACATAGTAAGTTGTAACAAATGTGTAATTTTCACTCTATATTTTAATTTATATGTAAACTATATTTATAGTTAAGCAGACAAGGAGATATAATAAAGTTTGATTAAGGTAAATATTTTGTGCGTGTGTGTGTGTGTGTGTGTGTGTGTGTGTGTGTGTGGTATGAGGCGAACGTTGTTCCTGAGTGAATTCGTTTACAACAATGTGGATATTTTATTCGGTAGTGGAGCTTGCAGCGTTCAGTTGTT